ATTCTCACTCTGCCATCTGCATGATGCAACTGGAAACGTGATTCATCGGACCACATGACTTTTTTCCAATGCTCGACTGTCCAATCCTTGTGTTCCTGTGCGAATTGGAGAGGTTTTATCTTGGTAACTGCAGACAGCAAAGGTGTTTGAACAGGCCTTCGGCTTCCATATCCCATACGATGCAGTGTACGGCTATTTTGCCTACAAACATCAGGTGGTCATAATAATCTGGCCACTCATGTTCAAATATATCCCACGTTCAAAGGCTGTTAAATCATGTTGTTTACCCATATCTTCAGAAAAAAATCACTTCTTCTGTTGTGGTAAACAACCTGCTTCCCTATTTATAATGGTCTGGCCCTCTAGCAACTTCAGCGCGAAATTATAGCTAATCTGCCTACAAACCTCAGGGGGTCATAATAATCTGGCCACTCAGTGTGTGTATGTGTGTGTGTGTCCTATATAATAAAAGAGGAACATGTAAATTGACTGTCCCTCTGATACACTCACCAGACAATCAGGAGTGAGTATGCAAATTAACCCAACAAAGATGGAATTTGCATACACAGGCGTTGGAATTTGCAAAGGGTTAATTTGCATACACAGGCGTTGGGTGGAGAGCTCCCTCGGACGCTCCCCCTAAGCCGCTGGGTGGAGAGCAGAGAGGAGAGCTGGCGGAGAGTGGAGCAGCTTGGGGAACTTGGCTCCCCAAGCCGCCAGACCGAGAGCAGAGAGGGAGAGCTGGCGGCTTGGAGGACTTGGCAGAGTGGGAGGCCATGGGACGAAGACAGAGCAGGAAGGGAAAACCAAGAGCGCGGAGAGCACCAGGAATTCTGGGAATAGTAGTGCTGGTGGCAGCCTCAGGACCGGAAGTGGAAGCCCAGAGCGAGGGGAGCACTGGGAATGCTGGGAATCGTAGTTCTGGAGGCAGACAGCTCTCCTAGACACTAGAGCAAAGTGAGCCTGGAGCAAGTTACTGTTGTGGTGAGGGATGGAGGGAAAGCAAAGGTGAGAGACATAAGTAAAATCAGAGTGTCTAGGAATAATTAAAGTGAAGATATCCTAAAACTTCCAGGAAATCTCCACCAATGAAGCAAAGAAAAAAAAAATGCCTCTATTATTCTGTGAGCAACAAACCAAACTGAGTTGAGGTCTCAGACAATTCGTTCATATGATTGCAAAGACAGAAAGAAACTCCCAGATTGGAGAGGGCTCCCAGAATGGAGAGGGTGCAGGTCGGGCTGAGGGACCCCCACACCTCCCAGTGCACAAATGTCGTGCACCGGGCCTCTAATATATACACACACACATACACACATACACACACACACACACACACACACACACACACACACAAAGCTAATATGTTAAGTGTCTGACTGTCCAACCAGTCGCTATAACACACACTGACATCCAGGGGGCAGACACTCAACACAGGAGCTGCTGTGACTCGCACTGGCCATTTACAGAGAAACGGCACCACGGACCTAGTGCCGACAAAGCAACACTCGGCTTCTCCTAAGTGGGACACAGGTCCCGTCACCACCCTGGAGCAACACCCCACCAAATCACAGCTGACGCTGCCGAGACCCCATGGCACAAAATGCAGCCCACAGCCCATCCCAGCCCAGCCCAGCCCAGAAATGGTGGCTGTGGGCAACGGGTAATGACATCACATAGCAACGCCCAGCTTCCTCTCCCTAGCAACTAGCCTCCTTGGAGTTTCTTCAGCCTAGGAACACAACTTGCTTTATAGCCAGGTGGAAACATTTTACACTTTAACCAAATGTCTGTGAAGCCTTTTTCCGTGCCTCATCTCATTTGATCCTCACAGAAGTCCTGGAGTAGGTAGATAGGAGACTTGGTGAAATCCTATTTTCAGTAGCCAGAAAACGGAGATTTAGAAAGCTTAGAAATTTGACCCGGCTAAAAAGAAGAAATGGTGGACCTTGAAAATGACTTCAGGTTTTCTCACTGCACAGAATATAGTCAAACACTGCTGCAGTTAAATATTTTACCCTTTGTTCTCCCTGTGTGATCTACAATAATAATCTGCCTTGTGTTTATATTTATTGCTGTGTTGCTGATAATTACCTGAAAGAGAAGTTGGGGTGCTTCATTGGGCTGGAAAAAGTTTAGCTAAATCAGAAAGCAGGTCTAATTAAGCAAGTTTATCTATATATATAAATCTCTTGCTGGTGCCAATCGCACACGTGTGTTTCGATCTGTCATTGTCAATCGTGAATTTGGTTGACACTTCTATTATAAAGAAAGGGCGAATAGCAATATTAAAATATTTCTTCTAATTAATTTCCTTTCATTGTGCATGAATCCGTGCACCAGGCCACTAGTATGTTTTATATAATTGGCTCTCTTTAGAATCCTATGTATTTTATACATTTAAAATACATTAAATCTTGTAAAATACCAATAAAACATTATTCTAAGAAATTGTTCATAGGCTTCCGGAGACTACCATAGGTGTCCATGACAAATAAAAGATTAAAAATCCCACCCTAGCCATTTTACTCAGTGTTTAGAGCATTGGCGCTCTAACTGAAGGATCACAGGTTCAATTCTGGTCAAAACATGTACCTTCGTTGTAGGCTCGATCCCTGACCCCAGTCAGGGTGTGTGTGGGAGACAACCAATCGATATGTCTCTCTCACATCAATGGTTCTCTCTCTCTGTCTCTCCCTGTCCCTTTCATTTTCTCTTAAAATATCCTTGGATGAGGATTAACAGGAAAAAAAAAAAAAAGGTTAAAATCCATGCTGTAAATTACCCTGCTCCTATCTTACAAAGCACCCCTTTTTCAGGGTCTCTAATACCCTTCATACATGCATGAAGTGTCACCCTCTCCATGATTATATAGTTGACACCCAGAACAGAGAAATGCATAGCTTTTTTAAGCAATAATCATAATTGTTTATGTTTACTAGATAGTAGAGTCCATATAAAATTAAATGTATCAAATAAACATTCCATCTAACCACCTATATAGAGAGACCTTAAGTCAAATACTACAATGTCAAATGAAATATACTTTCTGAAACTACAATGGGAAAAGCCTGAAAATATCAATCTACCTTATTCCCAAATAAAAAAAGTTTAATGAAAACATCTGAAAAATGATCTTAAGTTGCTAAAAACATGGAGAATATGAAGTTTACTTTTTGTTTTCTCAATCCTATACTGTGCACACATTGCAGTATCTTGTTTACTCATTTAAAATGTGAAAAACAGAGGATATCAAATGATGAGTGGATAAAAAAAATGTGGAACATTTACACAATGTAATACCACTCAGCCGTAAAAAGGAAGGAAATCTTACCTTTTGTGACAGCATGAATGGACCTGGAAAGTATTATGCTAATTGAAATAAGCCAGTCAAAGAAAGACAAATACCATATTATTTCACTTACATGTGGAATCTAATGAACAAAATAAACTAACAAACAAAATAGAAACAGACTCAGATACAGAGAACAGATTGACAGTTGTCAGAGGGGAGGGGGTTGGGGGACTGAATGAAAAAAGTTAAAAGATTAAACCAAAAAACGAACAACAAAAAAATCAACTCATAGACACAGACAACAGTAAGGTGATTACCAGAGGGAAAAGGAGACTTCAGGGGGATGTAGAAGAGGATAAAGGGCGGGGGGGGGGGGGGGGGTGGACCAATGGTAATGGAAGAAAATTTGACTTTGGATGGTGAACACACAATATATAGATGATGTATTATAGAACTGTACACTTGAAACTTATATAATTTTATTAACCAATATCACCCTAATCAATCCAATAAAAACTTTTAAAAAGTAAAAAAACAAACAAACAAAAAAGAGAAATTTCGAATGAATCCTTGGGTTAAATGACAGAAAAGTATAAACCAAGTGATATACAGTAGTCATTTAGACAACAGAAACACCCAAACAGTTGGAAGTGAGAGGATCTAAACTACAAGAGCTACAAATTCAACTACAAATCCAATAACAACCAAAAATTTAAAAAGTTTAAAAATCAAAAAATTCTACAGTCTGAAGATGATCTGGTGAAAATAGAAATTATCTCCTTCCTATCAATAAGAAGTACTAGTTTAAAAATATTTTCAGTAGAAATATACCTTATTTTATAACAAAAATCAAGGGACAAACAGAATTTGCTTTTCTATATTCCTATCATTTGAAGATGAAATGTAGCCACACAATTATAGTCATTCAATTTCAACTTAACAGTATTTCATTTTTATACATATAATTACCATAACTTTAAAAAACTTTAACAAAAATGTAATACATTCAATCGATACCAATTTTTTATGTCGCTACCAACATCTTGAAAATTTTACTATAAGCACTCAAATTACAACACTTTAGATCATATTTTCTGATTACAAAATCATTATGTACTCATCACAGGAAACTTGTAAAATACAAAAGAAAGAAAACAGAATTCCCCATAATCTTACCAATTATAAATAAGCATTGTAATAATTTTATTTCTTTTATGGGAAGTATCTTATATATTAATAATAATGCTACTAATCAATATTAGACCCTTACTTTGAGCTACTTAGCTAAGAGCTTTAAAAATACTATTTTATTTTATCCTTATAACAACCCTGTTTCAGGTGAATATTTCCATTTTACAGATATGTCAACAAGAATTTAAAGAGGTTAGGAAACATGCCTAAGGTCACAAAGATAAGTGGTACAGCTGAATCCAGCATTTTAAATTATTATCCTATGCCACCATCAATATATACATACATAGAATGCTGTATTCTACCTACTCTAAAGTAATTTTAGATGGCTATTTAATATTAACAGCATGTGAGCATACCATAATTTAATTAATCACTCCTCTACTAGATCAGATTATTTTTGTATAGTATTCAGGATAGGATGACTCATTCAATACAAAAAAATAAAAACAGATAAATGCAAGACTTGCTTGTCTACTTCGAAATTTATATTAAAATATATAATTCAACTTACTCTTTTACTGAGACAAATAACTGGCCACATACTGCAACCTAATGTGCAGCAGCAACAAAGGCAGCCACAAAGTAGCCAACGTACATTAACAGGAAGGTTCTTCTTAAGACAACTGTTAACTCTGTTGATGCTGGCTTTAAATTCTTCAGGAGCTACCTAAAAAAAATTAAGAAATAACAACATAGCAATATTAATGTCAATAAACATGCATCATTAGTATAAATCTTTTTCCTAATTTGTTAGGAAAAGACTTCAATTTTGAGGTGTATAAATAGTATCTAAATAATTAACAGACACTCACTTTTCCAGTTAATGAAGAAGGAAATTCTGATTCAAATTTGTTGCTCAGTCCAAATCTATTTTAAAAAGGAGAAAAATGTTATTGCATGTCATTGCTGCACAAAATAGACCATTTAACTTAATCAAGGGTCAAGTAAATAGCAGCTTCATATACAGAATTACCACAGAAAATTGAGACACAAAAACATTCTAATCAGCAATATATGAAATGTAACAAGCAATTTAAGCAGCTGAATCAAAACTTTTGTATCATAAGAGGCTGAGAATAACTTGTTTGGGGTTATCTTTGCGAAACAAATATTATATAATGAAAAACAACACAATGTTTAAATGTTCAAATTTGTCAAAATTATGAAGGTTCTTCCAACTAAGAAACAAAGCTAAAATCTCTATTAATTACTCTTTAGGTCAAGAGTATTTGTTAACACTCAATATTAGCAGTAACATGTCTAAAAATGCAAACTGATTAGTTAACACTTTCTGAGATCTACACTTACAGCCAGAGAATGCAAAAACACCTGAAACAATGTGGTAGCTGGCCTGGCTATTTAAACTTTCAAATTTTAAGACATTTGCTATCTATACTCCCAAAGAAATGAAACCCAAGTAGTGCATTTTAATATCCTTAAGTGTTTAAATGTCTGAAAAGATCATGAGAATTGACTGGGCACATGACTACTTCTTCACATAAGTTATTAGGTAAGAATAAAATAAATACTAAGACACATTGGCAATAGCAGATCACCCTGGAAATAAATATTGAGATTCTTCAATATGATGACTTTTGTTGGACCCTAGAGCCAAAATTCTTTTAGTTTCATTGAGAGATAATTGACACATAATATATTAATTTAAGGTGTACAACACAATGGTTTGATACATGTGCATATTATTAAATGATTGCCAAATGAATTTAGTTAATATCACCTCACATAGTTACAAAAAATTTTTTCCTATGATGAGAACCTTTAAAATTCACTGTCTTAACAATCCTTAAATAGACAATACTGTACATTGGGTAGCTGGCACTGGTAAAAGGGATCCCCTGAGATTCTGTATTAAACAGCTGGCTAGATTAGGAATTTCTTATTCAACCATCTAGTAGAGCTGGACAGGGAAATCAAATGAATAAGGCAGGTTGTGTGAAGGCAATAGGAATGATGGGGCCTAGCTGCCGGGAGGGGAGGGGAAAGGAGAGAAAGGGAAGGGGAGACCAGATCCAGCTGATTACTGTCAATCTAGAAGGCAGACCCACTTTTGACAGACTGTATGATTTTCTTTTTCCAAGAGGAGTTGGAAAACCAGATTCCTATGCACTTTCCCATCTCTAAAACACTGTGCAAGTCAAATAAAAAACTTCTGTGGATCAGGTTGTGGTTTGCATCATGTCTAGACTTCCCTACCTGTGAACAGTGGGTTCTGAGACCATTTCTTTATCATCTTAAGTACTTTCATATACTATTTAATAGCAGCATTGAAATAACATTAATCTATCTTTAAAAATAATGGATACTATTTACAAAAAAGATTATAATACAATTACCTAGGTCCAAGCCCAAGTTCTTTTCACACTAAACATAAACTGGCAACCATTACTGTTTAATGTAATTCTGGCACTAATGCCATTCTCTTTCTAAGATTGGACGATTGAGCTAAACCTATTTTCTGTCTATGTAGGGGCCTCAGAGCAATGTGGTTCTACTGGAAAAAGCCTCCAGATAACCCTCTTCCAATCTTAAAGATCCTCCCAGGAGGAAGAGGTGTGAAGAGCTTGCTGATAGTTCTCAGTGAGGTCTCTACGATAATGTAATTCCTTTTCATCTATTTCCTTTAAGGAAACATTCAACAAATGTTTGCATATTCAACCTTCTTAATATAAACTTCCTTCTCTTACATGATCTCCCTCGGTCTGGAGGTTTTCTCCTTCAATCAATAGTTTCCATTTCAACCAGGTTTATTATTGCAATTAATTAACCATCTCCTTCCAACTGGTCTTTGACATCTTCTAGAAAAGCAATAACCAGATACCTCCAAGTCTCCCAAAGAAAAAGGTCCTCCTTACAGTCCCAGTGATTAAATATTTAAAGCAGAGAATACCTATAATTTGCTAGTTTATATGCTAAGTTGAAGACAGCAGTCCAGTATGAGTTTCAACCCTAATTTCCTTTCTTTCCAGTGCCTGGATACTTCCTCATTGGGTGAGTGGCTGAATGTTGACGCTTTGCCCAGGGAGCACTATGAGCTAACTGCCCTGCTGTTCCTGCAAGCAGAACTTTAAGCCAGGCTAGTAGTTAGCTATTTTTCCAAGTTAAGAACTGGTAATTTCAAGAATATTCTTTTGGCACTCAGTTCCTTTTCTCACACATTTTGTTAAGTTGTATCTTAAGAATAGATAGTAATTCTTCCTCTTCCTTCATCTCACCCCCAAAGTAATGTCCCAGGAAAGATGAAAAGTAACATGATTCACACCAGAAGGGAGTGTTCAGCTTTTCCAGCAACCATTAATTCAGTTTGGTGCTGATAATTTTCCATTCTCCCTTGCTTGTGTTTCTACCAGCTAAACAAGAATACCTGAAAGAAGGGTCAAGAAAATGCTGCTGTTAGGATACAAAATCAACGCCAAGAAATCTATGGCATTTCTATACACCAATAGTGAACTTACAGAAAGAGAGACTAAAAAAGCAATCCCATTTACCATCACACCAAAAAAATTAAGATACCTAGGAATAACCCTAACTAAAGAGGTAAAAGACCTCTACTCAGAAAACTACAGGACGTTGAAAAAAGAGATAGAGGAAGACATAAACAGATGGAAGAACAAACCATGTTCATTGACTGGTAGAAGCAACATCATTAAAATGTCCATACTACCCAAAGCAATCTATAAATTCAACACACTTCCCATTAAAATACCAACAGCATATTTCACAGACCTAGAACGAACTCTCCAAAAATTCATCTGGGATTAAAAAAAAAAAGACCCCAAATAGCTGCAGCGATCCTGAGAAAGAAGAACAAAGTAGGTGGGATCTCAGTAACTGATCAAGCTGTATTACAAAGCCACTGTTCTCAAAACTGCCTGGTACTGGCACAAGAACAGACATATAGATCAATGGAATAGAATAGAGACCCCAGAAATCGACCCGAACCAATATGCTCAATTAATATTTGACAAAGGAGGCAAAAACATACAATGAAGTCAAGACAGTCTCTTCAATAAATGGTGTTGGGAAAATTGGACAGATACATGCAAAAAAAAATGAAACTAGACCACCAACTTACACCATACACAAAAATAAACTCAAAATGGATAAAGGACTTAAATGTAAGATGGGAAACCATAAAAATACTAGAGGAATCCAAAGGCAACAAGATCTCAGACATATGCCAAAGCAATTTCTTCACCGATACAGCTCCTAGGGCATTGGAAACTAAAGAGAAAATAAACAAATGGGACTACATCAAAATGAAAAGCTTCTGCACAGCAAAAGAAACCATCAACAAAACAACAAGAAAGCCCACTGCATGGGAGAACATATTTGCCAATGTTATCACCAATAAGGGTTTAATCTCCAACATTTATAAGGAATTCTTACAACTTAACAAAAGGAAGATAAACAATCCAATCAAAAAATGGGCAAAGGACCTAAATAGACACTTTTCAAAAGAGGACATTTAGAAAGCCAAGAGACACATGAAAACATGCTCAAAGTCACTAATCATCCGAGAAATGCAAATCAAAACAACAATGAGGTATCATCTCATACCTGTCAGAATGGCTACATCAACAAATCAACAAACGACAAGTGCTGGAGAGGATGTGGAGAAAACAGAACACTCGTGCACTGCTGGAGGGAATGCAGACTGGTGCAGCCACTATGGAAGACAGTATGGAGTTTCCTCAAAAAGTTAAAGATGGAACTCCCATTTGACCCAGTGATCCCACTTCTAGGAATATATCCCAAGAAACCAGAAACACCAATCAGAAAGGATATATGCATCTCTATGTTCATAGCAGCACAATTTACCATAGCGAAGATCTGGAAACAGTCTAAGTGCCCATCAGCAGATGAATGGATTAGAAAACTATGGTACATCTACACAATGGAATACTATGCTGCTGTAAAAAGGAAGGAATTCTTACCATTTGCAACAGCATGGATGGAACTGGAGAGCATTATGCTAAGTGAAATAAGCCAGTCAATGAAAGAAAAATACTACATGATCTCACTCATTTATGGATAATAAGGACCATTATAAACTGATGAACAAAAATAGATACAGAGGCAGAGCAGCCTCGAACAGACTGTCAAACTACAGCCGGAAGGCTGGGGAGGGTTGGGGGGTGGGGGGTGGGGGGGTAAGAGATCAACCGAAGGACTTGTATGCATGCATATAAGCATAACCAATGGACATAAGACACTGGGGGGTAGGGGAGGCCGGGGGTTAGGGGGTGGGGGGGAGGAGACATATGTAATACTCTTTGTAATACTTTAAGCCAGGGGTCCTCAAACTTTTTAAACAGGGGGCCAGTTCACTGTCCGTCAGACCGTTGGAGGGCCGGACTATAGTTTAAAAAAACTATGAACAAATTCCTATGCACACTGCACATATCTTATTTTGAAGTAAAAAAACAAAACGGGAACAAATACAATATTTGTATTTGCATGTGGCCTGCGGGCCGTAGTTTGAGGACCCCTGCTTTAAGCAATAAAAATAAATAAATAAAATAAAATAAAAAAGAAAAAAAAAGAAAATGCTGCTGGTTAGTGGACTTAGAGCCTCCCCAACAAATTCCAACAGCAATTTGCTTTCCCTTTTTAAAATTTCTAAACAATATTCAAGTGAAATACTTCATGACTACAGGCAGAATGGGCAAAGATAATCAGGTACCCTTTCCTCATCTCCATTTGAAATATAGTATTCTGCTGCAGGGGTATTTAAATGTTTGGTGTCAGTACCTCTTTGCTTTTTTAAATCCTTGAGGACCTCAATGACCTTTCAAATGTATGCGGTTTACATTTATTGATATTTTGGATTAGACATTAAAATTAAGACATCTGAAACATTTTAAAATTGAATCCAAAATTTTTTATAGCCCATTATATGCTAACAAAAATAACACTTTTATGCAAAATACCTGTTTTTCAACACAAAAATCTTTAGTGAGGAATGTATCTTACATTTGCACGTATCTTTTTAACATCTGACAATGGAACACAGCTGGATTCTCACATCTCTTTCTGCATTCAACCTGTGATATGCTCTTTTGGTTGATGTTGATGAAGAAAATTGGGCCTTGCCAGATATGTCATTTAAAAATATATTTACTATACCAAAACCTGACAGATGGCAGTCTCTTATGGTTTTACAAGGAGGAAGCTAAAAGTCTATCAATGAACTTTTAATACTCTGCTAAATTTAAAATCTATTGGCATATATTTTGAATGAATTTTTTTTTACCCAGACCTGATTTTGTAACTTCATTCATTTGTCAAATGCTGACATACTTTATTTTATAATATAGGAATCATCACATTCATTAATATGATCACTGACCTCATCAGAAAGGTCTTTACGTATTGGGAAGCTGTCCAGCTCACATTGGCAGATACAAATTTTCTAAAATTCTAATTTTCCTCTGAAAAGTTGAAATTTTTATTGACAACAAATGCTATAAGTTGTTTTCCTTGAAATGACAGTCTTGCTTTATTTTTTTTAAAAAGGGGGGACAGCGGATGCTGAATGTTATTTAGCACTAAACAAAAGAAAAAATAAGCTACCACCTATACCTTAAAAAATGACTTGAAACCCTATTAATAGATGGCTTTTTCCCCTCGCTTTGAGTGTTACTAGTGGACATAAACAATGGCTATGAATTGTAATAGGTATCCTTGGTATATAAAAGCAATAAAGGCGGAAGAAGGAAAAATACAGGGAAAAGTGGATTAAGAGAAGAAGGAAAGAGATAAAAAAAAAAAAAAGAAAGTTTGGATTGGCCAACTGCTACCAACAACTGTTTTATTTATTATCCAATACCTATTAATTGCCAGTCTCTTAGTATGAAAGAAAATGACATGCTATAACTACATCTATTATTATTGCCTAAAAGACCTTTTCTTGAATCATGGCTAAAATACTCATGACCTTGGAATTGATAAAATACATAAACTATTTTCAAAGAATGGCAATATGCCAGAGATAAAATGCATTGAACTTAACATATTTTACTCTTACCTATTACAAGTTTACAAGTCTACTTAGTATTCCCAGAAAAGAGAAGTCTTCGAAATCACAACTATTAAACACCTTTTATGTAACATCTCATGATCACAAGGTCCTACAAAAAAAGACTTATCTCACTTTTTAAAAAAATTTTTAAAGAAAGCATGCACAAGTCAAATTTTTTACTTTTATATAACTTGAGGTAATTTTGAAAGTTCATGTAATATACCTGATAAAGCTTTGCAGAGGGACTGTAACTTCACACCTAAATCTAAGTGGCATTTTGAAACAGGCTTGTTTTACCCATATCCTACCTACTGCCATTTCACAGTCACCTGGTTCCTATAATCTGTAGCCATAACTCAAAGTGTAAGCCACTCCAATCTGATCGCCTGCACTCTCATCTTCATCCAATTCAGAATCTCCCCTTCCTGATAGATCCTTCCTCTTCCAAACTCCTTTTAATATTTAATCTGTTTTATATCCTACCTAGTTACCTCCTTGTATCTCTTAAAAGTTCTTTCTTCACTTTAACCAAAAAATCTTGTTGAAATGACACTTTCCTTAGAAATCCTCAGTTATAGCTCATTCCCTGGAGTCCATCTTCCAGACTCTTCTCTCCCATGTTCCCATAATACTTGATTATATTCTCTCTTATACATCTTTATCATATTTTATTATAATTATGTTAACAAGCCTAACTTCCAACTCTGATAAACACTGAGTTATTTATGGGTAGGTACGGTACCATAATTATCTTTAGACCTCAAATATATGGCCCAATGCCAGACATAAATATTCAATATTTGCTGAATAAATCAATCAATTTTCAAACCAGAAAAAAATGTCCAATTTCACTAACTCCTCAATGTAGTCTTCCACACCATTGTTTCTCTTCCTCTAATGCCCATGAATCCTGATTTATACCACATTGTTCCAAGTCCCAACTGTCATTGTCAGACTTCCAGATCACTCCCTCTGTGTTGGGGGCCCACAAGACCAACCTCAGGTTCAATGATTGATTAGACTCACAGGATTCAGCATATAGTTGCACTCACAGCTAGATTTATTGCAGCAAAAGGAGACAAAGCAAAAGCAGCAAAAGGAAAATACACATGGAGTGATAGACACAGACTGGGGGGCGGGGGGGGGAGGGAGGAGGACATGTGCTGGGGGGTGGGGATGCCTGGGGGAGAGGTCAATGGGGGGGAAAAGAGACTTATGTAATACTTTTAACAATAAATGAATAA